GCAATCAATGGCAAAACATTAAATATTGAAGCAACACAAAGATTTATAGTGGTTCGGTCCAAGTCACCTACTCTACTATCGGAAACGACAACGGTGGCCAGAGATCTTTATTGATGAATAAAAGTCACCAAAAGAATATACCCCCGAGAGAATTATAATGCTTTAGGAGAGAGAAGCAATGTGTGTAGAGAGGTATGTATGGGTTTTCAAGGTAATGCCATTTATACGAAGAGGGCTTACATTATATAGGTTTGGTGAGGCGGTGAGGCAGTCAATATTTTTTAGTAAGTACAGCTATGATAGAATTAGATATTCGTAATGCGTATCTCGATATTATTTTCCTCATGCTCCTATTCTTTCGGAGGCAGATCATGAGCTGGATTGGCAAGGCGAGGAGGATACCACTGAGAAAGAGAGAGTGTGGAGCAGAGAAGAGGCCGGGTCCCCTTGGGGTGGCTTCCTTGGGCGTTGACGTCTTGGTCTCCCTTTGGGTCTGGTCTGGTTGATTTGGACTCCCTTATTTTATTGGGCTTGACCCACTTAATTTCGAGTTCACCAGAATATATAACAAAAAATGAATAAAATATAAAATTTGTAAGAAGATTAAATATTATAGAATATTACTTTTATTTGTGTAAAATTTATAATATTAAATAGGGCAGATTTCAAGAAGTTTGTTCGACGTTCTTAAATAGATTCATCTAACGGCCTCCAAGATCTCTCTGAAAATCATTTACATTGAATTTCTATCCTTCCAAATCCATCACTTCTCACTTGCGTTGCACCATGCCTTCAAGCACAGGTTAACCCTAGTTTTTACATAAATACTACTCTACGTGTCAATTACAATTTATGCAAGTTGTAAACTTTGAAAGATGAAAGTGCTATGGTATGTATATAGTTGGTAGATAACTTACATTTTATCCTATTTTCAATCGAGCTATAAAAATGGTATGTAGTTTATGACAAAAGTAATATATCAAAACATTATTAGTTTTTCAAGCAAAATCACATTTGGAGGTAGTTTCTGATGGAACATCCAATGTGCAACAAATCAACTTATAAGAGACACTTGTCAAGTAATATAATATTAGAAATATAACACAAAATAATTCACGTGTAACACAAGTATGCACTAACTAGTATCATAGAAAAGTTTAAAGTAAAGCAAAAAAAGTCCAACCATTACATGATGAGAGTTTTAAAAATATTGTCTTAACCTTGATAACTTGATAAAATTTTCCAATATTGGTGTATTAGATTTATTTTCAAAATTAAAAGTCTTAAGAGAAAACTCCTTCTACTCCCAAGGTCAAGGTTGATCTACACATATCTTGAGAGAAGAGGGTTAGTCCTTCACCCATTCCCCAGCCTAACTCGAGTTTTAAGAAAAAAAAATAAGTTTGGGTAACTAGGGAGGACTCTAAAAAACTCACCATCTCAACCAAGTTAGAAGCCCTGAGTATTAATAGCAATATCATAACTTCTAAGAAATAAGAGATGTGAGAGTATAGACTTAGATGTATCATTCATACACTACATCAAACACCGCAGTTTCATATATTATATATATTTTTCTTTGTTTATTTTAATTTATTTTTCTATATGAAAATTTCAAAAATAATAAAATTTTAAAAATTCAGAAACAAAAGAAATTAAAAAATATGGATGTCTTAAATAAGAAGTTCTTGCATCTAGCCAACCAATTTAAAGCTTTAAATCATCAAATGTTAAATTTTTCTAAGCTTTTAGAGAAGTCGTGTGAGTCCAAGCATATGCATGCATAATCTTCTAATTGACCACATGCTAGAGCACACAAAGCTCTTTTTAACCCCAAGGTCAATGTTAATCTACATACTTTTAGGGAGAAGAGAGCTAGTCCTCCACACATTCCTTGATCTAACTCGAGTTTTAGGAAGGGAAAACAAGTTTAGTTGATTAGGGATGATTTTTAGAAACTTATCATCTCAACCAAGTTGGAGGCCTCGAGTGCTTTAATAAGGTCATGACTCCTAAAAAGTATGAGAGGTAAAAGTATAGACCTAGGCGTATCATTCATGAATTGCATCAAATACCCTAGGGACATACATTTTATAAACTTTTATTTGTTTATTTGATTTGTTTTCTATATGAAAAATTCAAAAAATGATAGACATTTGGAAAACCTAAAAACAAAAGAAATTATAAAATACAAAAGGAATTTTGATGTCATGTTTGACATTCGTTTTTAGGATTTATGGTAATTTATTTTATTTGTTCTTTTCTTTGTTTATTGCATGTTTATGCATATTTTTCTTTGTATTTGTTTATTTGAAAAATATAAATGAAAAAGAAAAGGCAAAAAGATTTTTTTTTTGTTTATTTTTCTTTTTGATTGATCATGGTAATTCACACTTTGGTTTGTATTACAATGATTTCATCCTTAATCCAAAGTTGAAATGTGTATTGTTATGAGTCATATTAGGGGATAGAGAACATGGTGACATAAATCTTAATACATGATTCATGAGCGAGAGTCTCTTTCACCCTAGTGTGTTTGGATAGCATTTATCTTTGAAAAATTTAAAAACAAATACATGTGAACTGCAAGTGTTGGTGATAGGTGAACACATGAATGCTAGAGAACCGACTGTGAAAAAAGATTTCAATGAGGCCAAATTTAAAAAAGTTAAATCGCTAAAAAATAATTGCACTTGAATTTTTTTGGTACTTGTGCTTTAATATTCATTGCTCAAGTATAAAGTTCAAAGAGCTCATGCCAATGATGTTTATAAGCATATTGACAAAGAACAGCATTCGCAAAAACATGATTGAAAGTTTGAAAATAAAAATTATATTTTTAAATAATTTTTGAAAATTGGCCAAATTTGAAAATTACGCAACAGTCCTACAACTTCAAGCTTATTCTCCATGGTGCTTGGTGGCGATTAGAGGCTCCCGAGCTCTGCATGAGCTCCACAGAGTTGCTTGAGAGGATGATTCAGTTTGTTTGGAGGTTTAAAATAGAGAAAAATCGTGGGAGGAGAGAGAGAGAGAGAGACTCAAAACTTGATTTTTTGAATTTTGATACAGAAGAATTCGAGCAACCTAAGTTATACTAAGAGCTTCATTTTTACTCCCTTAATCTAGAGAGAGAGAAACTCAAAACTTGATTTTTTGAATTTGATACAGTAGAATTCGAGCAACCTAAGTTATACTAAGGGCTTCATTTTTACTCCCTTAATCTAGTGATAGTGTTTGATTTTGGTTTGGTATAGCATGGAAACATGAATTCGAAATTTAAAGTTAGTGGGTTTTCAAAATTTTCAAACGAGTTCATGTATTCTCTTCTGTTTGGTTTAATTAATTTACTTGGTGATGTTGTGGGGAGGTTGTGGTGGTGTTTGGGTGGCTTGCTGTGGCCGGAGGAGGCATGGTGGTGGTGACGAGGGTTTTGGTTTATGGAGATTTTGATCTCGGGTAGTTTTGGCTTCAAATGAGGGATCCCCCTAGCTAATTGGGACCCTAGGAGCTCAGAGTTCGTTTGAGGGCCTATTTTGTGAGTTACCGGTCCGACCATATGTATGAAAATGAGTTTTTAGCCTACTTTGACCGAATTTTTGATAGGGGTGAGAGTGGAATTTGAGGGAGGAGGCTAGGGGGGTTGGAAACTATCTTGTGCAAGGTGTGGGTAGGTTCTAAAATGAGTGAAAATGGTGTACTGTACTGAGAGAAAAGAGGATTCAAAGTGGGGAGGTTAAACTAGTTGGGGAAACGTAGGGTTTTGGTCAAAGACCAAAAGAAGAAGATGAAGTTGGGGGGGGGGGGGGGGGGGGGGGGGGGGGAAGCGAGACCAGTGACTGCCGGCGACACGTGAGAGCGCATGCATTTGGTCCCATAGCACTCCTAACATATCCCTGGTGGTCCCGTAAAAGTTTAGGTCCAAGCTTAGTGAGGTGTGAAAAGTTCGATTTGCCCTTCCAGGTCGACTAGACCTACTTTTTGAGTGATTTTGACCAAACTAATTTTACATTCGCTCTTAAATAGTTATTTAGCGTATATGTGTGAAATTTTACAGAAAAATAACATTGTTATATTTTTAATAGTTTTAAATTGATACACTGTGTCGGGTAGAGTTTTTCAATATCTGAATAGGAGAAGATTTTCAAATTCAATTTTAAATTATTCCATGCATTAGTTATGATTTTTTAACATATTCTAAAATGTATGATTGAGTGTTCAAATATTGACTTAAAATCTAGACCCGAATTAGGGGTTTTAAGTGCGGTTCGCACAAATGCTTGAAATGATTGTATTGTTCATATTTAATCAAACTCTAGGATCCTTTTGAACTAAATGTAAGTGCACACAAGTTCGAGTGGTAAAAAGTTTACGTTTCATAAATGCTTTTGTGGGCTAGTTGGTTTGTAGACTTGGAAACCAAACTTTGACTAAGGAGCATACCTTTTTTGGGCTACAAGCCCCCCATAGGGTTGGATTGTATATTCGTATGGACCCTGAATGGTCTATTTGGATGATTGCTCATTGGTGTAACACTATACAAGATATTTTTTAACTCTCTTTTATAGTACTATTTTGCTTAAGTGTTACTGTTTCACATAAAATGACGTTGGTTCTCTTATGTACGTATCAAATGTCCGTTTTCTTTAACTCAATTATGTTAAGCTATGTATTTTCAAACTCGCATGCCTAGAATTGAGTTATTCTACTAAATTATTGATGCTCACTCTATATTATTTCTCCATTTTCAGATTAGCCAAAGGTGAAAAAATCTGTAAATAGTGGAACTGCCTATTTTGTTTGGGATAGAGTACAAGTGTGCATGAAGCATGTAAATGAAATAAGTATAACTATGATGTGACTGACATGTACATACATGTTTCGTGATATAACACGATAGCTATGTTTCTATGTGCTATATCTATTTTATTCAATATGTTTTAGTTCGTTTACGTGGGTTGGACTACTACGCTACGTTAAATCAAATTTATTACAACTGAATGCTTCCACGAGTCAAGGAAACATACGTTGCATGTCTGGGCAGAACAGGGTGTGACAATAAGGGCTTAGAGGAAGGACATGAAGATGACGAGGAAAAGCGTGATAAATATGAGAATCGTGGAGACGAGGATATGAATGAAGAGGAAAGAGGGGACGAGCGAGTTGGACTAAAGGGAGATTCACATAGCCCACAGAGAATTGCACATACTAAGAAGTCTTTTAAGTATGGGAAAATTTCAGCCGTACTACTCTTAGTTTACTATATTTTTAAAGACATCCCCTCTATTATCAAAAACATTACTAACACCCCTTCTAGTTTATATTTAAAAATCACTAGCATCCCCTACCATTAAACTACCATTTCTAACAAAAAACATTCATATAAAATACCAAAAATGTCCCTACATAAACCTCAAGTAATTTTTCTACATAAAATTTTATTAAAATTCGAGCCGATTAAAATTTAATTTTCTACATATTAAATTTGAACTAATTAAAATTTGATTGAAGCTGATTAATTTTTTGTTAACATATTAAAATTCGAGCCTATTAAAATTTATTTTTTACGTATTAAAATTTGAACCGGTTTGAATTTTACCCCAGTTGTTAGCGCCTATTAAAATTTGCTATCGAGTAGATTAAAATTTATATTTTTTTACTTTTTAAATTTTGTGTCAATTAAAATTCGATTCATTAAAATTTGAGTCAATGAAAATTTATATTTTTTTATGTATTAATATTTGGGCTACTTGAAATTCTATGCGAGTTGATTAAAATTTGATTTGAGTAGATTAAAAATAATTTTAATTGGCTCAAATAGAATTTTAATTAGCCCAAATTTTAATAAAAATATAATTTTTAATCTGCTCAAATTTTAATATGCTAAAAAATAAATTTTAATTAGTTTGAATCGAATTTTAATCGGCATGAATTTTAAGACGTAAAAAAAATTAGAAAATAGAGGGAGTCTCATGGAAGATATGTTTATCTAGAGGGGATGTGGATGAAATTTGTCCTCAAATATAAATGGGCAATATAGTAAAATTGTATTCTATCTGATAAAGGTGTCAATGAAGATTCAAAAAATAGAAGAGTATCTTTAAAGATATGATAAATTAGAAGAAGTGTGACTGAAATTTTCCCTTTTATAAGTATTTAGAAGCTTCGCTCCTTCGAGTATTCCAATGAATCATGATGAACGATAACGAAGACCATAGACCGAGTAAGTTAGTGATCCATGAGAGGTTAGATGAGCTCATTCTCCTTTTTTTTCTCGTACGAGGCCTTCAGGTTATTAACTGAGACTACTTTTATGCCACCTTTTGTATCTGGTTGAGGATTAGAACTTAGATATTTATAGTTTGAAGGATAAGTCTAAGCTGTATTTGACCTTTAACTCATCAAACGTAGTGTTAAAACTCCATTTTTCACTGTAAGAAATAAAGGGTTTTTTTTAGGCAGAGTATTTCTGATAGCCGCCTTTGCTGTGGCAAAAAAAGTGTGTTTTTTAAAGGCATCAATTTTCATTATCAAAGGTAAACAGAGGGGAAAAGAATTTGCAACTGATGGGGTAAGGGTAAGTGGCCCAAGGATGAGGAGGTGGGTGAGTTGGGGAGGGGGAGGGGCAGTGATATGTAGGTTTGAGAGAGGTGGTGGTGGGCTTGGTAATGGGAAATATGGTATTTTAAAACAAAATTGAAATATACAATATTCAAAATGAAAATTCAAGATTGAATTTTCTCTGACATGGGTGGAGGAATAATTTGAGATTTTTTGTCAAATATATGTTAATGTCATCGAGTTTTAATGACATATCTAATAAATCATTACGACAAGGGTCCATTTCTTGCATGCATGCGTACATAATTCAAAGGGTCTTAATATTGTTTGTCAAACATGAGCAAAATGTCTGATTGAATGGCAAACCTTAAAAGTTTTGGATGCTCACGTACATTTGAGGGTCCCAATGGCGAGAAAATTTTCAGTGAGTCATATTGACCGTATAACACTGTTATGTGATGTGTGTCACCTATGAATTTGCAATAAAATTCCTTTTAAAAAAAACAAACTTGTGTGTAATGACAAGCTAGTTGTGATAGATGTCCGTTACGTGTGCATACAACTTGACGATGTCACGTGGTGTGTAAAATTCACCGATTTTTTTTCAATGACATTTTCCACTAATTTTTTTGGGGTCTTAAAAAAGATTGATTTTTTTTTTTGGACTCTTTTATTTAAGCACTTGAGTGTTTATGTTTGGAAAAATTACACTTTGACCCTCTAAGCTATGGATCCGATTTCACTTTCCCCTTAAACTGTCGATTTTTTCATGTTGCCCCTTCATGTACTTGAATTATTGCACTTTGCCCCAATAACAATTGTCCACTATTTTTTGGAGGAAAATTATTAATGTATCAGAGCAAAGTGAAAAAATGCATAGTTGGAGAGAGAAAAATGAAATGATTTCTCGTTAAATTTGTAATATACATTAAAAATTTGGGCAATATGAAATCAATCACATTATTGGGTGACCTATGTTAAAAATATGATAGTCCAAGAGACAACATAAAAAACAAAATCATAGTTGAGAGGATCAATGTATAATTTGATTGTTTATGTTTTTACTTATCCAAACCTTGTGTGATGGTTAAAATGGCACGAGAAGCCTTTCTTTAGTAGTATTAATTTTTGGGTTTGGAGGGAGGAGGGCGAGAGTTGAACCCGCACGTTCTATGCTTTTCAATTTTCATGAATAATGACACGAAATGTACGTCGTGATGAAAAAATATGGATGTGAATATTTTCAGTGCTCTTCGCCAATTCTTTTTTGAAGCGACATTAACCTTTTCATGAAGTGTCGGATGAATTGTTTGGGATTACCTAAAGAGAGAAATTCATAAGTTAGGCTTGTAGGCGCGGCTTTAAGAAGATACACTACAAAATAACACAAAAATAATGATAATGATAACATTTACAATTTGACGAGTCTTTCAAGTTTGCTTGCAATTTCCTTTCTTAGTTCTTTTTTGCTAAAGAGTATTCAAGTTTGCACCGACTATTTCCTCAAGCTTTAAAACTGGCCAACGTATCTCGAATTAGTTTAAAAATGTCCAATGAAGAATAAGGATGACTAACCTTACGAATTGTGAGATATATCGAACCTAGGGCCTCTTATTTGCAAAATGATAGGCTTGACCACTGAACTACTCCTAATTAGTGTTTTTTCCTTTCTTAGTTAGTTAATTGGCGATCCATCTTTCTTTCAAGAATTGTTTGTGGTGAATGCGTGTAATTTATGAGATTCACAATATTTATGCTATTTTTCTTCTTCTCCTTTTGTTTTTTTCCGTCAATCTCCCACTCTACTAATTATAAACATTAGTTAAAAAATTATAAAACGTAGCAAGGTGATAAAAATGAAAAAAAAATTAATAATGAATTTTTTTCCCAACAACCTTTATTAATGTTTAAACCTAAATTCCAATGCTCTACTCAAAACCATATCAAATTAGAGAAGACTTAATTTTTTACTCAAATAACTAATAGTTAGATTTTATTCTCTTTTAAAAATTTAATGGTTATATTCTACCACCCTTTAAATTTAAGTTTATACTCATTTAAACTAGTGAGCACCCTTCTGCGACGCATATGATCTGTCTCCCTTGCCATCACACTTTTTAATCCTCATATTACTGAAAAAGTACACATTAATGAATTAAAATAATATTTTTAAATGTGAAAAAATCAATAAAGATGAGAAAAATTTTGAAATTTAAAATAATTTTAAAAATAGTGGGAGTAGTTACAAAAGATTTTTTTTTAAAAAGATAGTTACAAAAGATTAATAGAGTAATTAATTAAGCAAATTGAAAATAAATTTGAGTTTTGAGTTAATAGATAGATAGATTTGAGTTTGTATCAAAATAAATTTTTTACTCAAATGCTAATTTAAATTTGGTAAATCTAAAGGTTGGAGATGCTTGTAATTGAATTTAGAGCAATGCTAAACATCTGACTTCGTTTGCTCACTGAATTTGTTTATTTATTATGGTATCGACAAAAAAATTTGGTATCGTACCTCTAAAATTTACTACTTTAATAAGTGTTTTTATAATTTTTATGGGTCATTTTATAACAATTTTTTTATGACTTTTGTGGATATTTTTATCACTATTTCGGTGACTATTTTTATCAATTTTTTTGATACAAAAAAAATTACCACTTATGTGGATGATTTATTACATTTACGGATATTTTTATCACTGTAATGGTAGATCCCATCAAACATTGAAACTTGCTATTCATCTAATAACTTCAATAAAGCCATATCGTGAGGTTAGCAAATAACATAAATATTTTAGGTTAAAATAACATTATTTCTTTGAATTTATGAATGATAGATGACATTTTTTCTTTGTGGAATTTTGTATTAAAAGAAATATTTATCACTTTTGTGGATAGTTTTATCACTATTATGGTACCTAAAAAAATGATAAAAATAGTTATCACAATAGTGATACAAATACTCACAAATGTGATAAATCATTCATAAAAGTGATAATTTTTTTTGTATTTAAAAAAGTTGATAAAAATAGTTTCTACAAATATAATAAAAACACCTATAACAGTTGTAAAAATGTCCAAAAAAATGATAAATTAACCACAAAAATGATAAATTTTTTAGTTGTAAGATGACCTATAAAAATTATAAAAAATACCCTTTTAAATAATAAATTTTGGAGATATAGTACCGAATTTTTTTTTAATTGTAAAGTAGTCGAGTCCTAAAATAATTCTAAAAATTATGATCGAAAAATTGTCGGTTTTTATTGGGTTAAACTGGACACACGCATGTGGCATCCGCGAGTGGCATTGCGTTGTCACGAGTGGATGAAAAAGGCCAAAGGGTGATTCCGAAGACCGTTTAACTATGGTTTAAGCCCTCAACTGGGTTAGGGTTTCGATCCATTGACGTCTCTGCCGTGATTCGTCTCTCTCCCTCTCTCTTCTGTCTCTCTCTCTCACTCTGCTATAAGGATATAGTAGTATTTGCAAATCTGTCTTGTTTTTTTCAATTCAAATTTGATCATACAATTTGCTGAAAGAAATTTTCTGAAAATGGAAGGCAACGATTTTGCGTCTGCGAAGTTCGATTACTGAGCCGTATTTGTGAGGAGAGAGAGACCCAGAAAGGTGAGATCATTTTTTTTTCTTTCCCAGAATTGATTGTGGGAACATATAATTGATGTGATTTGAATTTCTTTTTGAATCGATAGCTTCGTGTTTTGCGTAAGTGTGTTGAATGAATGATTGATACTTGAACACATGTTCGGAACAATCTGTTGTGTTTAGGTCTAGATTTATTTGTTGGTATTCACACTGCCAGCTGAATTTTGTTGTGGCTAAAAATCTTGGCGATGTGTGTGAGAAATTTACACCTTCATGAAATGACAATCTTCGTTTCTTTTGAAAGATGTTTTTAATTGGAAAAATTTTGTTTCTTCTTCCAAACATTGTCGAGAGAGAGAGAGACAGAGAGAGGACGAATCTTATGTTAATGGGCTCTTGAGATGGGAGGCCCAGGAGACAAAATTCTCATTCTCCTGGTGATAGATTAATCAGGCTTGCTATGTATTTGGCAAGGAGGGCATAGTTCGTATCCACCTTGTCTGTCTGTCACTCTCTCCCTTAGTCATGCTTACCTATTCTCATTTGACCACACACACATTTAATAACACATATCGACTCTTTTGTTGAGAATGTGTCAACCCTAATATGTTCCATTTAATTGATCGTGTTAGATGACCCAGTGGTTAGTACTAACCTGACATCTTGTTACTGATGTTGACTTTGGGTTGGCATATAACTTGTGAGTTAGAGATTATATCCTTTCTTTTACAACTAAATTCGCAACCCATAAGCTTCTATAAATTAGAAATCCACTTGATCCAGATAAAGCAAGCCCAAGAAAAGATTCTATAATTCCATAAGAATTCATACGGTTACCAGATTGAAAAAAAATTTTATAAATTAAAAATTAAAAATAGACATTTTGGTTGTAGTTAGATGGACTTGTCTTTTCAAAATCGAGTTATTTGGGTTTGATAGTTATTTTCATTATTCTTGTTGATGGGATGAGTTTTTTTTTGGGTTCATGTTGATTAATTGACTCTAGCTTGTTAAGTTCGTGTCGAATTTGTGTTGTATCGAAAATTGCCTCTTCTGTCTCAACCACCTGCTACCCCAAAATTCCACTCAGACTCTACCTTCACAAAACTCTATGTCCTAACTCTGTCATTCTCTGTCTTCTTAATTGGCTTTTCCGCTCTGTACCTCTCTATTTCTCCATATCTCATAGAAGAAAACAAACTTATATGTTTACAATCGTTCTTATTGCTGTAATATTAATAATTATTGTGCAAAGTTCTCATGGGAAAGATTATAATTTTTGTAATTAATGAATACGATTTGCTCACTCATGAGACACCATGCTTTCTAGTGGATTAGATTATTTTCTTTTTTATATAAATATTGATTCTATTATTCTTTTTTTCCCCCATAGATCGTCATGCATGCTAAAATTGTGTGTCTCTACCATCGTGCATACAAATGCTTTCTTAAATGTAGAATATAAACATTGCATTTCATACAATTTTTTTGTTTGTAATTTTGAGAGATTAGTAGATTGGTTGCTTCAAGGAATAAATCTGATACTTTATGCCTTGTAAGAGAATTTGATTCTGATTCTGTGGTTGTTTGTGTTGGAGAATATACTTTAAAAGCATAATTCTCAACCTAAAATCCCTATTAATTTTCTTGTTGGCCATTTTTTTCCTCTCAGGGTTGATGCTGTATCATATATATCAAGGGGTTTCTGATGCCCAGCTCATGGTTCTTTTCTGTGGAGTTCTTGTGGATATCTAAATGTACCTTTTTTTTGGCCAACCCATTTGTAATAGAGAAACAGTTTGACATTGAGAGATACTGTCTTGTATTATAAACAATGTAACATCTCCTATTGTATATCAAATTTTCCTTTTTTAACCCCAGTTGCTACTTTTTTGCTTCATGTTGATATCATGTGGAACTCTGTTTTATTTTCTAGTCAATGTATATTGCTGCAAAAATATAATGTGTATGCCTGTGTATATATGTGTTTATTATATTAATTCACCTCAATAATGTGTGACTGCATTTTGTGGGAAATTTTGTAGACTTCAATTGGATAAACGCTGGTACTTGATCCTCTGAAGTTTCTGGAACCATCTTACTTTCTTCGACAATGGAGAGCTTAGCGCAGTTAGAAGCTTTGTGTGAGAGGCTCTACAATTCACAGGACTCAGCTGAACGAGCTCATGCTGAGAACACTCTGAAATGTTTTTCTGTGAACACTGATTACATTTCACAGTGCCAGTACATTCTGGACAATGCTTTGACTCCTTATGCATTGATGCTGGCCAGCTCAAGTTTGTTGAAACAAGTGACGGAACACAGTCTCTCCCTACAGCTCCGTCTTGATATCCGTAACTATTTGTTCTGCTCACCTTTTGTTTTCCTTTTTTACAGTCCTATATGTGCGTTGGCCGTGAATTATCATCAATGGTTCCACTATTATGTAGCCAATTGCTGTTGCTTTCCCTTTCTCTTGATCCCTGTTATCATGTCAACATTACCCATCAATTAGCTCATGCTATCTTGTGGTTTTATCTACTCCTGATTTAGTATGTAGCATTTAAAAGCAAGATGTTACAAATCTCTCTTTTTTTTTCCTCCATTTTTTTATTTATTTTTGGTTGTTTGGTGCTTTCTGAATTTATCTTTATGGATTTCCTTGAAGGAAACTACCTTGTAAACTATCTGGCAACTAGAGGACCTGAACTGCAGCCATTTGTGATTGGATCTTTGATTCAACTATTATGTCGGGTTACCAAGTTTGGGTGGTTTGATGACGATAGATTTAGAGATGTTGCTAAGGAGTCGATGAACTTTCTGAGCCAGGTAATATATCTGGTGTATAATAAAGTTGTGATGTATAGACAGGGAATTCCCTACATTTGCTTTTATGTATGCTATTTGGTGCACATGTACATTATACGTGGACCATTTTGAGCTGTAGTTTTATGTTTTAAGTTTTTATATTTAATCATTTGCTAACACGTCTCAATACACCAAGGAGCATCTTTTTTCCTTGGACAAAAGATTTTCATAACCATGACACTAAAAACAAATTAAATATTAAAAACTTAACTATTAAAATTTTTGAAATTCTGTGCATGCAAGCTTTTTATAATGTGGTTTGATAGTGGTTAGATTGGATCAAGAATCGAATTTTTGTTGTTTCCATCACAACGACTGAAATGCAATGGTTTTCATAGAAACCGAGACGAATCACTCATTGAATATCAAAAGTCATATATTTCGAGGTATTTCAAAATATTTCGGGCTTTTTTAGTATGTTTCAACTAGTATTTCAGAAAATAAAATTTCCAATTTCTTATCTATATTCCTTTTCATTTTCGAAATGTTTTCGAAGCATTTTTGAAATGTTTTATTTTCATGTTGACTTAAATTATGCACCGAAACAAGACTAAGAAGCATGGACACGGACACAGATACGACATGGACATGCAGATACGACATTTTTCAGAAAAATAAGGCACGAACACTATGGGGATATGCTATAAAAAATTATATTTTATATATAACATTATATATTAAATATTTTATTATAAATATAGTGACAATGATATGCAATTCATAAAAGATCCAGTATTTTGTTATAAGTAAATCTTGTGACTAGTTATCTGTGCAAATTTTTAGATTAAAGTATCATCATAATAGTCAATAATCATCAATTTGTTTTTAAAATTTTTATGCATATTTTGTTTTTGTTATTATATTTGGAGTATAATTTTAACATGTCTAGTATTAGTAATTATATGTTCTCAAAATTTTAAGTTTTGTTAATCATATTTCAACACATGTTTATTGTTTAGTAGTAGACGTTCTAAAGAAGCGTTTGACACGTCACGAAAGAAGTATCGGACACGTGTCCAAAATTAATTTTTTTTAGTTAATTATGGACACAGATAAAAAAGTATCGAACACGTGTCTGAAGAGTATCGGTGTCCGACATGGATACTTCACCATCTTGAGAGTGTCCGTGCTTCATAGAAACAAGATTTTGATCCCTGGATTGGACTTTATGGTTTCGTGGTAAAAAATAGTGAGATAAACTTGTATGTTCTAGCTATAATACTTAAATAAGAGTCTAAAACAATTTGGAGTCAATAGGTGCCTACATTTTGGAAGAAATTAGACAATTTTTTTGGTTGGATAGTGTGGTTTGACAGGCTAGATTGGATGTTTTCGCGTATAGTTACGGAAGATTAGGATTTATGACAGCCCAAAAGAATATGGAATTCAAAGAGTCCTATAATAAGAAGGCTAGAATTTGTGTTTTAATGAGCTATTGAAGAAATATAGAAGTTAAGTGAATAATTAAGCATAATTTGAGAAAGCAAAATTAAAGATCAAAGGACATGTCAGGATGTAATTTATTTTATAACATTGTTTAGGGATATGAACTCAAAAGTTTTCTTAGTTAGGTGACATTAATAAGTAGTAATAGATTTGGGTGCATGTATTTAGGCCCTGGCTGATTGCGTATATTTTAGGCTTTGAGTTGGCACTTTCTTAATTGTAATTATGGCATCTTGCTCTTTGCAAATGAATAGATAAATATTTTTTTTTCTTATATGTTGTTGGTAGATCTGCTTAGGTCTGGTTTGGTACATAAGATTGTTTGTCTCCTATTAAAGGTGTAATGAAGGCGGTAGCCTCTAAAGTTTGATTGTGATTTTCGAGTATTACGGATTATGTGGAAGGATGAAGTGATCGAATAATTTGCCAACTCCTAGTTTCCAATGTTTTTTTGAAAATTATCTAGAGATGTATTAGGAATTTTGAATTGGCTATAAACTCCTAAAACCCATTCTGCAATAGGAGCTATGATTTGATTTGGTCTATAGTTTGATAAAGTGTCAAATTTGATAACTTCTGAATTTCTGAAATTAATGAAATACCATTCTCTAAATTCCTTAAACGGACAAGACTCCAGCTGAAATAGATACCAGGGCTTCTATGTAGGTTTTCAAGTAGCAAATAGATGAATAAGCAGTGCATGGTTTGATGACCTTGAGTACATATCTCCAATCATTGGATATTTTTTACCCGTTTTTTTTGGTAATGAAGAACAGTCCCAATAAGGCGTCCTTTTGGGCAAGTGCCGACAATGTAAATTCCTGACGACAGTCACTCACCAAACCCATGCACCGGACATGGAGTGGCAAGACTTGGACTTGGGATCTTTGTGTTCAAGCTGACCTACGGGGAATCTGATTAATCTGTAATGGCTTAATTTTGTGAGAGCAAGCCTAGACAAGAGTCAAGTAGGAGCGAAAATGGTAGACTTTCTATTGATATTTGAGTGCCATTGTGTGAAAGGCCAAGTATTCACAATTGATTTAGTGGGTCTGGGAAAGTGTTTGTTAGGAGAACTATCATTGGCCATTTGGAGCATTGTTGTCAGACATGGCCTGACCTTGTGGGTGAGCTAGTGGCTGCTGAGTTACACTCTTGACTGGTAAAAAAATTAGTAAATTAAAAAATAATTTAACCTAAAGGTTATGTGTGCCTTTGTATTATCATGGCCCAAAAAAAAAAAGGAGATTTAAGACACTTTAACCAAGGTGCATGGTTGTATTGTTAGTATTCTTGCTTGGGTTCGGTTCAGTTTTTATTTTAGTTCCAGGAGTAGAACTTTTTAGCTTGGTTTATGTCTAGTTCAAGTGCTCCCGTGAACCAAACCAAGAGCGGAGTCCACAAAGAGTTAGATGTTTTTTCAAAAAATCAGTAGACTTTCGAATTGGATTTAGCTCTTGATTAACATCACTACGAGGACAAGAAGATATTGTTTGAGAAGAAGAACCCTTAGAAGTATTTCCCATGTACTCATCAAATAAAGCAAATAGCTCCTCACGAACATTCATGCATTCCATTGACCCTTCACCATAAAGCTCAACATAACACCACTCCACAAATTGAAATTTATAACGAGGATCAAATACCACTGCAATAGCCAAGATCACAATATAATTGGACCAATACTTCTCAAATTTTCCAAGCATTTGATAAGCCATTTTCCTCATAAAACCATCCAAACTTTGGGTCTCCTTACTTAAGGTTAAATGAACAATGAAAACCTGCTCAAAGTATATATTTGCTGTTGGGTATTTAGTGCCGGAAAATACACAAGTAGCATTGTAAAATACTTCCAAAAACTTCTCAATTTTTTCCACTTTACTCCATTCCTCTTGGGATGGACAATACTATAAATTTGAATCAACAAGTTGCAAATGACTAAAGGCACGACGGCCGTAGATGACACTTGTAAGCAAGAGATATGTAGAATTCCATCTAGTTGAAAAGTATTGCCTTATTCCTTTCTTGTTATCTAGAGATGCTTGTGCAACACACTCTAGAAATTTTTGTTCTCTTGATTGAGGTCCTCTTACATACTTCACACATGCTCTAATCTTCTCCAGAACATCTACCTCTCTCAAACCCTCTTGGACAATTAAATTGAGAATATGAGCACAACAATGTACATGAAAATAAGAACGATCACTCAATAATGCATTTGTCAAATTAAGTTGACCCTTGAGCATATTTACCAAGAGTAATTGGAAACGACTTCTTCTGTATACCCCATTTACTCACCAAACTATTGATGTTGTTAGCCAATGCGATGCCACTATGTGGGGGAGGCATATAAGAGAAATTTAGATTTCTCTTATACAAGACCCAATCTTTATCAATGAAATGGACTATGAGGCTCAAATAACCATCGGTAGTAATAGATGTCCATAAATATGAAGTTAAACAAATCTCTCCCAGGCAACTCACGTAGCATTAGAATGAACTTATTCATCTCTCTTGCATGCAACTTAAGGATATCTGCCTTGGCAGTATTCCTTGTAATGCATTTGCCTTCAAGACACAAGTATGTGAAAATATTTCTAACAGCCTCATACTCAACAAGCTGAAATGGCTACACAAATTAACAATTCTAAAAATTTTTCTTCACTAAATTGCTTACGTGTAGTGAGAGACTTGTTATTTTGGTACAAAAGTAATTGACCTATATCACGTGTAATGGTCTTCAAACATTTTTTTAAATGACGTTTCATATTGCCTGTTACACACTTACTATCTGTGTTGTATACTTTCCCACACTTCTTACATCTAGACGTGAGGATTATCGTTACTTTGCTTTTACCTCCATCTCCATCTCCATTTACATCTGCATCTTCATCATCATCTACAACTTCAGTGAGCGTGCGTTTGCGCTTACAGTCTTTGTTACCTTTGCCCTTCTTTTGAGGTGCAATACTAGATGTATCACCAACATTTGGTCGACTCCCTTCCATTGGTAATTCAGTCGTGTTGCTTGGTTGTTGGGATTCATCTATAAATAAGTGAACATAAATTAATGAACCAGAAATAAGTGAACAAAAATTAGCAATTAGCAAAACAATAAATCAAAGGAACAATAAATTAGAGGAAACAATTAGCAAAAACAATAAATCGGAGGAACAATAAATCAAAGGAACAGAAATTAATGGGCCAAATAGTACCCAATAGTATTGACACTCACTAAAGATTAACCTAATTCACATAGAGCAAAGGAAAATGCAAAAGAAAGTGCCCCGCATATTCATTGTTGCCCCACCTACATACATGACCGGCTTGGGGTAACACATGGAGAAGCTTTCACTTTACCACGGTGCCCATGAAGACCCCTATGGTCTGATTTGGAAGGAAAAGTAAGAGTACAACGTATATTTGTGACAAGTAAACAGAGAGACCGACGTGCAAGTTTGCTTAGCCTGGGATTTAAGGTATCAATTCTGCCATAAATCTAAAAAAAAAATTCTTCTACAAAAAAAATAAAAAATTCTGCTATAGATCTAAACTGAGAGATCTCAACAGAGTTAAAAAAAAAAAATCTATAGATCTAAACTGAGATGAAAGGAGAGAGATGAACTGATTACAATATACCTTCAATGGATGGCCGACTTCCGTGGGTAGACTTATGACTGAGAAGCCGACGGGAAGTGACAGGGAAGGTGGTTTCCTAGCATCCTGGGTGGCTGAGGGTCATGACTCGTGAGGGTAAAGTCTGAATTAGATATTTAGGGTGAAGTCTGAAGTGAGGAGTGCGGAGGAGGGAGGCGACGAGGAGAATGTATTAGATTTTTAGCTTTAGAGTTATCTTGACTATTTAGACTTGGATTTTTTTCTTTTTATACTCTCTATAAACAGGTTGAACGGGTCATTTGCATTTAAATTATTGTGTCGTGTTTGTATAATTATCGGGTCATTTTTGGGTTAGTGTCAACACGAATAAATAATCGGGTTAAGTGTGTCAAATTCGGGTTAGGCAGGTTGAACCCAAACACGACCCATTTTTTATTTGTGTTTGCATGTCTGGTCATTTTCGGTTTCGTGTCAGGTTATAATCGAGTTTGAGTCGTAAAATTTGTGTCCAGTTCGGGTCGTGTTTCCGTGTTGAGTCGAAAATTGCTACCCCTAGTCTGAAGTAGCTTATCAGCTTAGTACTTTATTTTCTTCTTTGCATGCAAAAAATCCTTAATAGCATGAGACCAATGATGGTAGTTATTGCCTTTCAATTTCATAGAAGTAATTTGTCTGACTTAATCATCTAGTGGAAGACTTTTGACATCATTGAAGGTTGCCATGTGGAAGCCCACAAGCAATTACTTATCAAGGAGGAAGAAACCAGATTTAGTATGCCACAAACACCATCTCACCCACACACAACATAGAAGTTGGAATCAAATCCACCCAGACTTGCACACAACCAGCAGATAACAAAAATAGAGCCCCATGAGATCCAAAACAGTGACTGAACCACTCTACTGAGACCCTTGTTGTGTAGCCGAGGCCTCCAATAGGCAAGAAATCCTGATAAATCAACCCAAAGAAGCATGGATCATCCAAAGCAACACCCTTGAGATCTAGTCGGAGATTAAAGTTTGAACAAAAACATAAAAAACAAGCAGTTTGTGCGAAACCAGCAGATTGAAAAAGCGGCAGTATGGCACTATTTTTTCTGAAAATCATTCAAACATAGAAAAATCCTTCCAAACAATTTGAAAAAACAGAACAAAAATACCATAAATTCCAGCACTAAATTTTGGTCCAAGACATAGTGCTGGTTGTTGGAAAATTATGATGTAATGCTAACATTAGCCTGATGTCGGTCAATGGAAGATGACTTCGACAACGGAAAAATGAATTCACTATTTTTTCCAATGCAATTCTAATTTAGATCGATGCTGTGGTACCAAGTTGCAATTTGGCTAATTGAATACTAGAGTTTAGGAAAAGAAAGAATAGAAGAAGAAAGAAAGAAAGGGATTATGGAGTGGTATATTGTGAGTAGGGGTGTTCACCCTATCCTACAGGTAGGAACTATTATTTATTTGTTGAAAAGAACTCGCGTATTTGACAAAATACTAAAGGGTTTGTGCTTAAATAACATAAAGTAATATTTTAAAGAAGCTAATTCATGTATATTACTAACACCTTGAACCCCTTCCATTCATATTTGTGCGCATTGTTCAATCAAAGAAGAAAAATAATGAATGAAGAGAGACTTAAATTTTTACCTAAATAATGGGAGACTCGTGGTTTGAATGGTCTGGTTTTACCCTCTTTTAAAGATCCACATGTCATATTCTATCTTTATTTTAATTTGAGTTTATCCTTATTTAAACTTAGATTTGTCTTCTTTTAACTTTGAATATTTTTATTCAGGTGCTTTGTACCAAATAAAACTTTTCAATCAAATGTGGTTCCACATAAAAGTCAATTGCATGATCTCATTCGATGTATACTTACATAGCAATAGCCAATTTATAATCAAATTTTTCATACAACCAAGAAAAATTCAAAAACCAAAATTACTAACACAAACAATTCCTTTGGGAACTTGTTATGTGTGGCTCTTTGGCATTGCATGTGTTCATGTGCATGTCTCGGTATATTTTAAACTTTATTGTTAGTTTCAAATTAATACAATTATTTAACTTGCAAAAAACAAAATTTGATCATCATTTACTTATCCTAAAAATGCAACAAATTTAATAAACAAGTTCAAACTAAACAAAATGTTGCAATATACATATTGTCTCTTAAAAAAATTGCTTATGAAATTACGTCAAATAGCACGAAGGGATACAATATACATGGTGATTATAAAAAGGAAGGTAGTTTCATTTCCACATGGTACTGTTCTATCTTCCAATGGTACTCTTTTTTCTTTCTGGGAGCATCTTCTTTATTTTTTTTTTCTGGTAAAACCTGAAAGCATTATTGGTTGAAGAGAAAGTTGAGATGATCAAACCCAAGTCCCTAGCTAGAACTAATCTAACGTAAAATGTCAGCAACAAAGATAAAAATATGCAGATATACACGTTAAAAAAAAAAGGATGAAAGAGAATAGAGAGTATAGATCTTGATATCGTCGACACTGGACGGATATATAGGAGCAATTGGTGAACAATAAATCAATATTATAGATCACGTAAATAATAAATCAAGAGAGACGAAATAGAATAATTGATAGTGAATGTGTAATTAGAATAAGATAACAACACTTAAATAACAAAGCAAAGAATTTTTTTTTCCTTTTGATATGTAAAACAGACAAAATAACTATATCCAATGCTAAGTACGTAGTTGCAAAACAAGAGGGCCAGATATTATAAATTTATACATTCTATGAGGTAATCGTCCGGTATATATAGTCTCACCACCACCATAAGGACAATAATGACCAATAACTTTACCATTTATTGTTTTGGTTAGTATATGAGGTAGAGTTAAAGTCATGAAGAAAACAGGAATATAGACACTCTAAGTGGTTTGAGTGCAAACACTTGAACCGTCTTTATTTGGTGGGAATTGGAAAAGGTAGAAATAGTTACTATGACATAAATAAGATCAACAAATAGTATAGAGTTGTCAAAAGTGTAGATAGTATTGTCTGTACTCATAAATATTTAGTGTACATTGAATTCATAATTTAGATAGATAAATTTCACTGAATATTTATTTTTAGAATTCTAAAAGTTGCATAAGTTTTTCTAGTTATTAAATTGAGGATGAAATAAATTTTATGACATGAAGTAAATAAAATTGAAGGTCAAGAGTCTTTATTCCTAGAAATTGAAGAGTCTAAGAGTTGATGTAATATAATATGACAACTTTGACATTATAGAATTACTAAAGGGCAAATAAGGAAATTAAAAGTTTTTCTCCTTAAGCCACTTTTAGAAGTAGTATAGATTGTCCTATGCTAGAATTTCCTGAATAGTAAAGAAAATAGTAGAGTAATATAAAGACAGCCGACAATAGGAAATTAAAACTCTTAACAGTAATAATGACTCCTGACTTGCAAGTGGGGTAGCAAGGTAACATTTTATTGACAAAATGGAATGTAGGCACTTTTTCCTGGGACGAGGGACTAGCATCAATGTTTTCCCAATTTATCAATTTCAGAATGTAGTTGTCTATTTTTTATATAATGCCTTGCTTGTTCTAGAGCTCAGGTGGTTGGACAATTGACTGGTGACCTGACTTTGAATTCTTGATCCATTGACTCTTGTTTCTTATTAGGTTGATGCTCAAGTTGTGTTTGGTAACTAGTATATGGTGATGCAAGCTTTTAGTGATCATGGACTCTCTAAAGCATACACAAGAGAGTCTAACATGGTTTGCCATCTTCCATCATTGCCAATTTAGTCACACTATGTGGTTGCAACTCCTTAAAATTTTTCTATGTATGACAAAGATTTTAAGAACTTGATGCTTTGTAATTGATTATGGTTTGTGAGTATATGTATATATATAGTAATATTCTTGCCATGTCCGTCTCCTTTCTTTGAGAAATTCATGTGGCATGTGCATGTCGTGTCATATCTATATCCATGCTTTGTACCTTGTAATGACTGAAAGTTTGATTAACTACTTGGTCACCATAACTAATTTGCTGATGAGCTCTCTGTTTTTGTCAGGCAACATCAGATCACTATGCTATTGGTTTAAAGATATTGAATCAGCTTGTTTGTGAGATGAATCAGGTTTGTGCTTTGTACTCATACGCAAGTTTGTGATCATAGTGTAGAAATTATTTTTCAGTGAGGTAAGGATCTGAATTGTATTTGTTATTGTAACATTTAAAGTTTGTGATCGTCGGGTTGACTCTATTGTTTGGTAAGGATAAGAACTATATCTGTTGCTGCTACAGCCTTTTGTGTGATAAATTACTTTTGTATGAGCAGATATTGTTATGGCTGGTGTCTGTATTTATAAGAGTTCTCTAATAGTTGTTCATGGCTTGAATGTTTCTTTGTTGGTTTAGTAATATTGGAATATTACATTAAACCATATAATAAATGTCGGGGATGTCCATTTGTGTCATAAATTAAGCACCCCTTCCATTGGCTCGAAACACCAGGGTACTCATACAACACATTGCTTAAGTGAAATGTCCACAAATTTGCACATATATTTTTCAAGATTCATGTTCACAGTAGATCAGACAAGGTTTACGCTGGTTAACAATATCTAATGCAACCCTCATTGTTTATCTGAGCTTGGGAGTTGGGACCACTTATGTTCCTACATGGGGCTTAATGTAAAACGATTGTCAAAGTCGTGTCATTACAAGGGTAAACGTGTTGGCATGGAAACTTAGGAAAGAAGGTGACATGGTTAGTCCAGCGTTTGATTCTTATTGCCAAATGATGAAGTGGAGCTCCTCTACATTTGAATGTGGATCTGAAACAAACCCTTGTGGAGTCGGTACTTCTCTTTTTCTTTTTCTCTAATTTGTAGTTCACTGGATTTTTGTTAAACAAGTTCTTACATGGTCAACTTGTTTTGACGACTTCATCCACCTGTTTCTTATTGTCGTTCAGCTCCAAAATAATAGTCCTCTAAGCTATCATGCGTTATTCAAACACATCTTCCTCAAACTAAAAATTTGGCAGTCAAGTGAATTTCCTATCATGTGCTGTGAGCAGGCATGTTTTGGTTTTGGCAGCATTTTCATTTCCCAGGGTGTCTCATTTCATTGGTGTCTGCATTTGGGAAAACTAGGGTGTACTGGTTTTGTGTTCATAGTATGATTGCGGGACTTGTCTTTATGTTAAGTTTGTTAGCAGGATAGGGATTTAGTACTCGCTGAAGAGGTATTCTCTTTTGTTATAAGAGAATTTTGGAAGGTGATTGTTACTCGTACTATTTTAGCATGGCTGAATATTTCAATGGTATTTGTGGAATTTCTCCTTCTAAAAGTTGAACTTCTGTTTAAGAGGATTGTGTGGAACAATTGAGTTCTTATACCAAAAAGTAATTGCTGAATCAATGTACTGCTCCTCTTAATCTGTAGTCTGCCCATGTATATTTCTTAGCTACTTCACCCTATTGCATAATATCGAGTATACTTCTCTCTATTGCATAATATCGAGTATACTTCTCTCTATTGCATAATATCGAGTATACTTCTCTCTATTGCATAATATCGAGTAGATATGAGGTACCAATTAACCTTAAACTCATAGTAATGGTGTAAATATTTTAATGAACGATAGAATAAATGGAATTTTCTTTATTACTAGTATCCAACCCAGTAGCAATAGCCATGAATGTACTTTTGTTCAAATTTAGTATGTTGAAATAGTTCAAAAGATGAATGAGGGCTTCTTTAACTTTGTTTGGCATACTGGCAAATGGGATGTTTGAACATGGAGGTAGTTGGCAGTAGTGTGAAGGGTTAGACAAAGATTTGTAAGTAGCACCAAATGTTACATGTGATTTTCTGAAAAGCTGTGGAAGGCCATTGATGTGATTCAGCGAGTGATTTGTATTTTTCAGAGGATTCCTTGGGCTACTCACTCATAATTTTTATGGGTTTTTTGACTTGGATTTTTAGCTGTCCAAAAGTGCCCAAGTGCTACCTAATTGTTTTGCAGATTCCTTAAGTTTTAGCTCGCACTAAATTTATGTCTGGGTGACAATTTTTCAGTAATATGAAAACTCAGTTAATTACACTTTGATCCCTTGTGGTTTGTCACTAAATCTTGTAGATGTTTCAGGAGAATAAACTCACCTAATCCCATATACACTGATGTATGGCCCATCCATCTTTTCAGGTAATGTTTTGAATGACAAAAGTTCCTACAATTAAAACAAAAAGACAAAAAGGGAGAATCAAATGCAAGTGGAATTTACACCAGACAAAGTTGAACAATGCAAATGAAATTTACACTGACTGAAAAGCTGCCCCCTTCTCACCAATGGTGTTAGCAGAGCAGTACTCATGCACGAATGTATGCACTTCGCCATCATGGCAACCACTACATGACCGCCACCACCACCATAGACCCCCAGTCCAGAACACCATCATTACTATCCAACCTAAAACACCAAACAAGAAGCCCCAATCAAGCCACAATTAAACGCCCAATAAAGCCAAATCAAACTCCAATCAAACATCACCTAAACCAGACATGGGTTGATGGAGAAAATGGAGGCTGTCATCATAATGAATGCAACAAATTTGTTGTTTTAAAAAATTCAAATAGATATTGTTGTTTTAGATCTGAAATGAAAATTGTTTGCCATTGGTTGTGTGGGTTTCTATGTTGTGGTATGTTTTTTGTTTGTGTGGTTTTGGTGCCATGGGTGCGTGTGTGTGAATGGGAAATAGTGTGTATGGTGGTGGTGGCGGTGCAATCATGAGATGGTTCGAGTGAGGGGTAGCAGTGGAAGAAGCAGATTAGGGTATTGTTTGCGTTGGGCTTGGTTTTATTTTTTACTAAATATATGCAAATGTTAGAGCATCTAACTCAAAACCATTTGGTAATGAGTGGAGAGACCTCTTAATTATATAAGCCAACTTCGGGTGACCCTAATCATTCGATGTGGGGTACAAGCTCTCTTTATATCATTGGCCATTCCCTATGTGGGGCATGGGTTCTCATATAGGGCTAACCAACCAATTCCAAGCATACTTGCGTATCGGTAAATTTCAATGAGTAAAAGACTTAGGCCCGTCTTTTACTCTCGCTGATGGCTGACCACCACTCAAAAATAATTGTTAGTGTGAAGTGGCCTCTTGACATATAAACTAACCTCGAGTAACCCTAATATTCAATGTGTGATACATTGCCTCTTTGCGGTAATGAGGGTATCTTGGTTGTTTCATTGCTTTTATTACTTCTGTTTCAAAACAATATAGGCTGGGTGTGGCAATCTCATGTTCTTGTGATTTGGGAAAAAAAACTCAGGATGTCTGGTTTTAAATGCCAAAAAATTTAAGAAACTTAGGTATTATGTTAAGCCCATTTTGATTTACCATCCCACAAAACACTACTTATTCTATTGATAGATTCTGTCTTTCAGCTTATCCTCAAGTGATATCTAGGTGATGATTTAAATAATGCTCTAAAAAATGTACGAAACTAGGTTCCAATGCTTGAACAAGCACTTTCATGGGATCACAGTGAGGCTTTACTGATCCATCTTTATTGTTGATTAACTATCCTTGCTTGAACTTTTTTCATCTCTCTCTCTCTCTCTTCCCCATTCTCTATCTTATGTTGATTTCCCTCATATCAAGCTTCTGTTTGCTTAAATCTATCCTTGATGCATCTTGGTGCTGAACTTGCAGCCGAATCCGGGATTGCCTTCAACACACCATCGAAGGGTGGCATGCGCCTTCCGGGATCAGTCTCTATTTCAGATTTTCCAGATATCTCTAACTTCACTGTGTCAATTGAAAAGTGATGGTAATATGTGAACGTGTGTTCTCATTTCATCATTGTTGTAGTATATTACAATATTATTTTGATGATAACCCGTTTGCAACATGCAGTTCTCAGCCGCTTGCAAGAGTTGGCCCTTGCGCTGTCATTAAAATGTTTGTCTTTTGATTTTGTTGGGACATCAATTGATGAAAGTTCAGAAGAGTTTGGTACTGTGCAGGTATAAAAATGTTATATTAACAAAAAACGTGTTCGCATGTAGAATGGAAACATATGTTTGTGATGTTACATCTCTTGGATAAGAAGATTCTCCCATTAAGTGTCTTCTTCACTAATCTTTCAAATAATTGAGACTTGTGGCAATTTTATAGATCCCATCTTCTTGGAGGCCGGTCTTGGAGGATCAATCGACACTGCAGATATTTTTTGATTACTATGCAATCACAAAGCCCCCTCTCTCCAAGGAGGTTAGTTGATGTCATTGTTTTCTTATATTTTTAAGGTTCAGCTTTGGAAAGGTGACTTAAGTAACTGGGATTGCTTTTATGTTTTATATTCTATGCGGTCTATTGAGGATTGTTTGTGGTTGCCGTTTTGTGGACATCATTACAAGAAACTGCCTTACTTGCTTGGTACTACTTTCATCATAGTATGCTTACCCTTGGCATTTCTTTTTTGCCTTTAGTTCTAAAATTCTGAATTGCTAATTATCTAGGAGTTTTCAAGCAAGTTTGAAAATCAATAGAGATATCTATTCTGCTTTATTTGGACCACTGGATTACAAAAGCGGCCATGATCAATTCAGTTGCTTTATTCCTTTTGTTTCTCTGGGATCTGCCACATAGCAGTGCTTGTGTATTCTCAGTGATGATATTCTCTCTCTTGTATTGGCACTCTTCCAAAGATTAAATATCAAATTGATAAAGTACGATCAATTAGAGTTTTCTTTCTTTATCTTTCGTTATTCTTCTGTGTTTTCGCCTAGAGAGGGGTGTCACTATGCTCTATTTCCCAATGCTTCAATCACCAGGAAATTGCTGAGTTGCAATTCCTCTAACGACTCTATGGAGTCATGGTTATGGCCGTTCTTCCTCAAAGTGTAGAATATAGTTTAGTTTTTACTGTTGCTTTTTAGTGAACCCTGCAACATTGGGCAGTGGTGGGGTTTCTCAGATTGTTGAAGGTCATATTTTTTATGATTTGTACTTACCGTTACAACTACGATGAGGAGGCTTGTCCTCCCTTTTGGGTTTTTTTTTTAACTTTTAGTTGTTTTTCATCCTGGTGCAATATGAGAATCATTTTATGGATCCTTAATCTTTTAGTTAAGAAGATACCTTTACCTTGGATGATTTTGCATGCTCTAGTTAGAAGCTTTGACCCTTCTATAAGTGGATTAATTGTTTTCCTGCAATGTAAGGGTTCAACATAGTTGGGTACATTGTTTTTTGCCAATTGGGAAGCTTATTTTTGTGCGGAACACTTTCCAGGAGTTTTTTTGTGTTTTTATACCAAACAAAGTGTGGCCACCTTGAAGAATGTCAGAGGGCATTTTTTTTGACCTTTTTTGGTTGTACTTAGGTGCGATTGTTCTCTTCTCTCCTCATTGTTTTTTCTTTTTTCATTTAATTACAACACTTTTTTGTCCTCTGCATGGATAGGCTTTTGTACTCTGATTTATTTTTCTCTATAAAGTACTTTTCAGATGGGTTTAATACTTTAATATGTAGCAGTATATTTGTTTTGTTTCTCCCTCTGTCTTAGATGGTTGTTTGTGTTTTCTGAGGGGTGCTTAGACTTTGTCATTAGTTTAACTACCAGTCCATGAAAGGCTTCACTTAATTGATGAGTTTGAAAATGCTAAATCAAGTTGAATGGTGTACTTTAAAAGACTTGACGCAAATAGACGAATACATAAAATTATGGAAAGTTGCCTAAAGCTCAAATGTGCTGTATAATATGCCAAGTGCTCACAAATGAATGTTAAGAGTGCAAAACAATATCATATTGGCATCTTAGGTGAGACAATGCAAATGAGACTGCTTGGCATCAGCTGCCATACTTGTCTCTGATGGTAAAATTTTGTGTTGCTTTAAATTTGTTAGTGCTATAACCCTTTCCTCTTCTTGGACTTTTTCACTATTCACAATCTTTATGTTGGGGTAAGCTAGTAGTAATTATTTATCATTGTGGTTTGGTTGCTTTGAGTTTCTTGTGTAAAGTGTTTTTAATTGATTTTTATTTTAATTTCAGGCGCTAGAATGCTTAGTGCGTTTGGCTTCTGTAAGACGGTCTTTGTTCACCAATGATGCTGCACGATCTAAGTTCTTGGCCCATCTAATGACAGGAACCAAAGAAATTTTACAAACGGGGCAAGGTATGCCTCTTGGTTCTTTTTTGAACATTGTTGTCTCTGTAATGTTTTGTGTATATATTGATTATTTTTATTTGATGTTGTATTGCCCTTGCCCTTGCACTGCCAAGATGTGGCTAATTTATTTTCTGTACTTTTTTCTAATATTACTTGGATATGTATGATCATCTCCTCCTTTTTTCCGGATTCTCACTGTTTCACATACTTGGGGCCAAGGCCATAATGGTTCAAGATCACCGTATCAAACATCAATGAGGAGATCACTGATACACATCGGTTGTGATGTCTTAGACGGTATACACACAACATGCCACATAGAAGCAAAAAGTTGAACATAATGAGCGATTCAGGCCTTATAGCTATGTCGCAGAATGGTGTCGGCCAATTATGAGGAAATGATTCGATTGTGTTGCGTGAGACTTTTGGTTTATACAGAATGTTGAACGACATTGGAATGGAAGGTGTTGGGTCTGATGTGTTTTTTTAGGAAACAAAATTCTATTGATAGGTAAAATAAAATTTTATATTTTCGAAATTTTGTACAACGGGAGACAAGTCTTCCAACCCGACAACATTCAAAATTAGGAAAAACACCAAGAAGTTTGATGCTATGCAAAAAAGAAATTTGAAAAACCACAGAAGTTTGAAAAACACAAAACCATAGGCCATCATCCAAAAACTCGCACTATATTCCACACAAGGATATCCAACTTGACATTATACAAAAAAGGGGAACATTTCAAATTACTTCGTCACTTCCATGAAGGCCTTTGTAGTGCAGATTGTTAAGTGATGGCATGCCATGGCAATGGATCATCTGCAAAGATCAATTGCATAGGAGAACTTACCTGCTGTAACCACAGCAAATCTGGACCATGCCGTGACTTCCCCTTTCGAGATCCCTTTTCCATACCAGTTATCAGAAAAATCTCCTTTCCTATAGTTGTTCTTTTGCCAATTAACTATTTCACACAGTATCTTTAGCACAAGAATTCAAGTGACCATGACCGTAACCTTCAAGCAAACTATTTTGCTTACCACTGGATCCCTTAGTACAAAGTTCCTTCAATTGGGCTCTTCCTTTGACGAGATAGTTACCATATGAAGATTTTCCTAAATACCTCAACTATTCCAATCAATTTGTTGCCATTGGTCAAATGATATGAATAAATTACTCATAAAAAAGTGAATTCTTAGTTATTACCTAATAAATTTATGAAACTATTGAAAATGGAAATTTCAACTATTATTGAATTTTTTTTTTCATAGAGCATTTATAAAGAATCACACTAAAATGCTACTTGATTGTGATAACAATCATAGGATTAGATTAACCAAGAGGTTATTATCATAGGATTAGATTAACCAAGAGCACTATAAGAAATCGCTATCTTTCTTAGTTTATTAACAGTTATCGACTAGGTTGTTATGGAATTGGTTGATTGTATTTTGGTCTTATCAAATAAAAAGCATTTATGCTTATAGGAAATGCTATAACATGTGCTAGTTTATATTTATACTAGGAATAGCCCGTGCTTGAAGGCACGGTGCAACTAAAAAAATCGAACATTGAATAATCAGGCACATAACTAAAGGCCTAAACTCGCTCTATATCACGTGTCTAAAGGCACTGTACATAATTCTTAAATATGAAATAATCAAACAATAAATATAAACTTGCATGGAATCCTCTAAAACATAAGACTCCCAAATGGGTTTTTGATTCAGTTCAAATCATGTTGAGTTGGGTCGGATCAACAAGGTCATATACCAACATGCAGAATTCAGGACTTCGATCAAACAGTTGGTGGGCATGCAATCAGTTGCAAATACTTGGCTTCAAACAACTGTCAAATTATGCTAAAAATTTAACATGTGAGAATGAGCAATGAATGATGGAAGTAAAGTAATATAGCATTTTTCAAATGTAATAAGATTTACCACAAAATAGTCTTCAGCATTTGAATAGTTGTTTCTTTCTGTCGAAGTTGAAGCTCTTGGGTGTGACAGAGACTGTGTGTGTGTGTGAGAGAGAGAGAGAGAGAGGTGTGGACGTTGAAGTAAAGAGAAGACAGAGAGTGAGAAAGGGAAGAAGGAAGAGGACGACGATACACATAAACAGAGCTCAAAAAAAGGAAAAAGCCACTAATGAAACGATGTCGTCTTAAGGAGAATTTCCAGCCACTTGGGCTACAAATGAATCCACATCTCCAGGGGCATCTGACCGACTTATGCATACTACGACCAATTCTCTATCTAGTCCGGTCAAAGACAAATAATTCACGCCAAACTACCAACCTCCCAAATGCTTCTAAAAGTGTCTAATTCAAATTCTCTATTTTTGGGATATAAGAAATTGTATTAAAAGAAAATGCAAGTTGCACTCAATTTCAGCCCCTTCCCAGTAGTTATTTCATGATCTCTTTGTCTTGTTTATCCTATCTGATTATTCCATTATTAAATTAGAAGAATGTGCTGGACATCCTTATAAGCCAATAAATTGTTGATTGCTAGCCTCAGTGTGGGTTGAACATAGTAGAGATAAATTGTCTGGCCTTGGGTTTCCATGAGCATTTACATACGTTTACTTTGAACTAAAAAAATTATATTCATGTATTTGGAAGGTTAAAAGTCATTTATCTCATTAATTGCTTATCTATTTATGCATACTACTACTAAATTTCAACAGGCAAAAAAAATACTTGAATTACAAAACTATCCTAGACAAAATGTATAAAGTGAACATTATTCACCCTTCCTAACTACATTAACATTATTTCATCTAAGATCATAAAATAATAACCTACTCTCAACTTTTTCCGGTTCGCCTCAATTATCCCAATGAGAGAAATTATACAAACTCCTCTATAAATAAACCAAGAAATTAATACAAGGGTGTTGATATACATATTATGCCTTAAGGCACGGTGCAGTTCTAAAAACATTGAGCACTAAATTTGGGCACAAAATAATCAAGCATGAAACTCGGACGTGTATTAAGCTGAAAGCCTAAACTGTCCCCACAATTCGTGCCTGAAATTGTGCAATTACGAAATCAAAAAAAAAATTACATTGTTCTTGAAAACGACTGAATCAACTCAAAATGATTGGTTCAATTGATCTTGTGTTTGTGCCTAAAGACGTTGAGTAACCAAAAACAAAACCAACAATTAGCAATAAATTCATTGGACAAAAAGTTAAACCCTCAATATACTTTAAAAAAATTTGGCCAAAGTTTTTCCTAAAATGGGACACCAGAAAATTTTCAACCAGTATAGACAATGCATTCTCATAACCAAAAAGGATACTAAAAGTCTAACTATCATGTCACAATTTTGCCTAACACAACCATTTGCCAACTAACGCAACCACGTAAATGAAGTCCATAACAACATTTGAATTCCATAATAAAAATATTCATGTTGCATAGACCCAAGAATACTCGATGCTTAAATCCAAAGATTTCAATCAACAACATTTATCCAATACTTTATGCACCAATTTATTAATAAAAACAATCTATAATTTCAAAATGGATGAAAAAAGGGTTACTGTAAGCCTAATGGAGATCAAAGGCTTGAATGTTATCTACATATAACTTCACTGGAAAACAACCTCAAGCATGCTTCCATATATACCTGAAACAATATAAGGAACAAAATTCAATTTCGATTTTCTTGAACAAATAATATATACAACCCCAAGCATGCTTCCACACACACGCGAGTGTTGCATTAGTGACTGTGTGCAAGTATGTATAAGTGCTACTATTCAGTGAGATGCAAAGTCAGTGTGTGCGAATGTTGTGTATGTGAGAGAGTGATCAGAAAGGGATTTTGTGCAATAAACAGGTTTGGAGTGTAGTGCTATTCCAAAACCTCCATGTAACCCACTACAATCATCAAAAAAATAAAGTAATCTATCCAATTCAACATATCAATATTCCAAAATCCCAGTCGCATTACCCACAAAGCAATCTATCCAATACAAAAATGAACTACTCAAATAGTAATAAACATCAATATAAAATTGATCTAAATAACACTAAACATCAATATAAATACAACCAAGAATGATTTTCAAATTTCAAAAGTGCACTAAAATAATCAAAACCCAAATGCAAAAATACAGCGAAGAATACCCAGAAGTGTACCTCAATCTTAGCTTCTTGTATTAATGTCCTCTACTGCAACCTTAAATAGAAGTCATCGCAAATTCTTTAGCATAGATGCATCTTTGGCTTTCATTAGTATATTTTAAGTACTGCCTTTACAATTATATTTTCTTTCACGGTACATTTCTTATGTTAATATTTTGGTAGGGATACAACCTAAATGAGTTGAGTAATAATCAAGCGTAACTCAATGAGTAATAATGAAAAGCTGAAACTGTATATTTAACATATTTACCAAATCAAGTTTAATGAATAAAAATGAAAAAGCCAAATCGGGTTTAGAATAGGACAAAAAACTTTTAATAAATGTTCGAATAAGTCCATAAATAGCCAAGCCTCATGAATATGCAAAAAAGTTGAGAATGCATAAGCCTCATTTTCTTGAAAACTGAACAAACACCGATTGTTCCTTCTGAACAAACACCGATGCAACAAACACCGATGCATAATAAATGTTCCTCAATTGCTCCCGAACAAAAGAAAAAGGCAAAATAAACATAAAAAAGGTTGAAAACTGAGCAAACACTGATGATATCGACATGGCTATGCATCTAAAACTTATCAACTTTCAAGTGCTCATTTCAATAATTAAAATCCTATTAAAAGAACCACAAAAGATGATTCTTCCACAAAATTGGATAGACAAAGAAAAAATTAGAGTTTTACCTTCACAATTTCTACACATAGAACTTTGGGGTTGTTTCTAATTTTCTAACATTTGCATTCAATAAACCTAGAGCACATATATACGTTTGTAGAAATCCACTAATGAATTGGCAAATGTAAAATCGGAAGGAAAAAAAATCAGAGCGAGTGAACTTTAGACCAA